TGTCAGCTGAGCGCTTGTGCGGCCACCCAGCAGAAATTGAAATGCTGCCTTGCTGATTAGCAGAGCACCAATAACCATCCACAGCTGGCAGCCTGAGTTTCTATTGGTGGTGCCCATCTGCACATACCTGGGTGCACCAAACAAAATTTCATCCACACGTTGATGGAAAAAAATTAGATGGAAACTTGACCGGGGCGTTGTTCAAATGGCTTTTTTTATGTTGGTGGGTTCCTTTTTAGTCTTCCAAGGGGTGTGGTGCAGCGTTCCTGGAGATCCAGGGCAACGCTTTACTATGAAACGAGCTTCCCCAAAGCCATGTCGTGTTCGCTGCCAATAGAGAGAGGGATAACCATGTGGGAAGATTGGAACTTCCAAAGCCAGTGCTGAACTGGACAGTATCAGGGTGTAGCTGTATATGTGGTGACTTTCCTCCTGACCCTACGCCACAAGACGAGGCTGTGCCCTGAAGCATGACAATGGACACCCCTTTAACTTGTACTCCAGTGGATATAATTGCCTTGCAATATTAATAGAGCAATTTTAGGCTTATTATGGCCTCTCCAGATAAAATAGGGCAGGGAACTAGGTTAGTTGAAAATAGGTTGTTCTCCCAGCTAGGTCCTGTGCACAGGGATTACGTTTCCATGGGCTGCCGTTACTGGGACTTTCACAGCCATAACCAATCTCTCTGAAATGCCTCGTCAGCCTGCTTTTCCGGGGGCAGATTCCTCGCTTCGTTTCTGGGCCTAATTACATTTTTCTGCTTTTCGTTGAAAAGCTTCCTTACAACCCCGGAGTGATTAGAAACACTGAAAAAGGACAGTACCCCTGGAAGCAGAGAAATCCAGACTTCTGATCCTGCCCTTACACCAGCAGGGGGCAATCATTTTTTGCCGGTGGCCACTTTGAAAATTTGTGAAGCGGCCCCGGGCCGCACAGGAAGGGGCGGGGCATCGAGCAGAAGGGGCGGGGCCAAGATATTTCCGGGTTCCCCACCCCCAGAAAATGATTGGTCTGGGGGTGAGGGAGTGTCTTTGCCCCCACCCCATGCTCCCACAAGATACCCATGCCCCTGGCATGGGAGGAGTCTTCCCGCGCTCCCCTGCCCCTAGACCAATTACGGTCTCCCCTTGCCTCACGAATAGCACACGGTGCTTAAAAAGCCCTTTCGCCCACCCCTGCCTTACATAGCGGGGCCGCTTGATGTCTTCTCACAGGGCACATAAACCTCTAGGGCCGGAGAAGGAAAAGGAGAGCTCCCCAGAACCCAGCTGGGAGGGAGAGAACTTTTGCTGAAGTCTAGACAGACCCCAAGAAAACACCAAACTGCACGGCAAGAGGCCTCTGACAAAAGCCGCCGTGATTCTAGGCTGCCCCGGCCGTTTGTCAAAGAACACCCAGGAGCCGGAATCGGGCAGAGAGAGCAAATCCACAGCCGGCGCATTCCCAGCCGCGGGAATCAATGTGGACCGGTCGGCTCTTGCTAACCCTTGTGCTCCCCCCATTGTCACTGCTGGCCCGGCAGCGCTCACGTGAGGCGTTTCCCCACATCCCATGCGTTTTGGCGCCACGCTTTCCCGTGCGGAAGAGCCCCTCAGCTAGCCGGCAGGAAATGCTCCTCGGGGCCGGATTCTGATCTTGCTTACGCAGGCGTCCGCTCGCTTTGGGGGGCTTGCTCCTGATTCTTACGCTGATGGAACCCTCACTTAGCCATTCTGCTTGAAAACAGCACGTTAACGATCACACCTTGTTCCTTGATCCCTATCGGCTTGGCAGTTATTACCGATATTAACGCGTGGGAACGGCTCAGGTCTCCCGTAGAGCGTGATCCAGGGATATGCACCCAGCCCCAGTGCTCTCCTCCCACTCTGGTTCATACCACCCCCTCCCTTCTGGCCTGGCCACACTTTGTGGGGATCAGAAGGAGAGAAAAGACCCAAGGCTAGATTTGGCCATTGATCTGTTCCAGAGGGGATGGTAAAGTCCGTCCCCAGGGGCCATGCAGAGCACGAAGCTGAGTGCTGTGAATTCAGAGACAAGGGGGGTGGCTGCAGTTTGAGGATACCATTCGTCTTCATCTCTGTTCACTTCATTTAAAAATTAACAGTGACAGGTCTGTACTTTGGCCATTGCTGCGTCCGATTCTCATACGTGGATTTTACCCCAGGGGACCACGTTTCGTAACACTGAACTCCTCTACACATTCCTCATGCAATGACCCTTGCACACTAAGGGCACGGAGACAGTAGATCAGACAACACAGCCCTAAGTCCACAGCTGCATGCTCTTCTGCCAGCCAAGACCCTCTTGCATCACTGCAGAAGATCGGAATAAGTCACGTCGGCGCCTGCGTCCGTTCAAATCAGCGGGCAACCATCAGGAAAGCCAATGCCCACATCACCACTTTGTACTTTTAAAGAGCAGTGTTCTTTTCAAGAAGTCACAGTCCCACCTGCCAACTGCCCAAAGCCTTATTAGCCTTGAAATAATTTTTGTACAGCTCAAGAAAGCCTCCTTTGAATTCCTTCTGGCCTCACGATCCCCACCCGGCATGCGGGAAAAGCATACGATCCTGTCGAGTGGGCCTGCTCGCGAAAGGTGTTCTCGCACTGCCGGAGGAGCATCTTAAATGAAACTTCTACCTCGCTCTGAGAAAGCGACACTCCCAACTTGGATGAGAAACAGCACCCCCTCCCCTCCCCTACCGCATTATAGTTCTCACCCGGGCTACCCCACCTCCCATTCCTAGTATTTACCCTTGTACTTGCTATTGGCTATTACATTGTGTGGCTTGAAAGCGTTCCAAGACATTTGCACAGATCAAAAGCTTTCCAAAACAAGTGTTTGTGCCAGCAAGATACACAACGCTTCCAAGAGTTTGAGACTGACCGTGTGTAACAAAGCGCTCATGTCAAAAGCTGAAGCCTCCGCCTGCCAGGGAGGACATCAGAAATCACGCCACCCGTTTGGGGGTATACATTTCATTCCTGAAATCTAGGGGGGGGCTGCCATTCACTGCCAACATTCTCAGAGTCCTTTTCTCGCGTTCATAATCTCACAGAGTCTTCGGAATACTCATTCTGCCTTCTACACAAGATATTCAGCCTTAAGACAAGTACATTCAAAGCATAGTCAATTGATTTCTCTCCTCACATTACAGGCCCTGCACCAGCTGTTAAAGATATCAAACCAGAAACACGATACACTGCAATGGTCGCTGCGTTTTTAAGGAGTCCAAATTGATATCAAATCCTCCACTTCCGTTCTTGGGTGTCAGAAATCAAACTTCGAATTGCTCCGGGATTATAAAACAAAAGAGGAAGGGCACTCGATTTTTCTCTGGCATTTTGTTCCACCGCCTTCACTAGGGTTACCAGATGGTTTAACCAAAAAGCCAACGGGGAAAAAATTCTGTTGAGACCAAAGTTGTTGAGTAGAAAAAAAAAAAAAAAGGGACCCCGAGAGTTATTCAGCCAAAAAAAAAAAAAAAAAAACCAGCATGGCCCCTTTAAGAAAACCATTAGGCTTTTTGCTGGCGGCCATCTTGTTTTCCTGATCCAAGTCAGAAGGCAGCTCCCCTGCAGAACCAGGTAAATGGGGGGGCTGAGGGCCCAGGAAGAGGGGGAGGGGCTGGTCGCTGAGTGTGTGAATGGTTGCCAGGTATCTGGTATTTTCGCCTCCTGGCGAGAAAAAGAAAATCAGAAAATACCAGACATTTTAGGTGTCCAGTATTTTCTGAATTTGTTTACTGGGCAGGAGGCAAAAATACCAGACTGTCCGGGTCAATACCGAACACCTGGCAACCCTATCCTTCACTAACCCTGCATTCAGTTTTGCAATGGGTTCCCGTCACACCACAATTTTAGCTGGAGCATCCCACGGGATGGGAATGCTGAACAGAACTTGGCTTTCTGTGTTACTGTGGGACTATACGCGCTTCCGCCAAGGGGAAGTCACATTTGTATGCTGGCTTGAACGCAGACTGATCCGGTAGAGGATCTGAGGCCCTGTCGCAAGAGTATTGCCTCCAGCCAGGCTAAGGTGGCTCAGAAATCGCCCGACCCGGCTTTGATTCAAAGCCATGGGACAGAATAAGCTTTTAGAGAACCTAGATTTGTCACCTGTTCTGTTTGAAGCTCAACTGAGCACACCAGACCAGGCGAGAGCAGCTGGACACCTCTTCCTCCATTTCCAATGTGCTAATTCCGAGAACTCTCTTCGCGGTGCCGCTTCTGAATTACCCGTAAGGAACAGTTTTCACCCCTCCGAGTGCCACATGCTTGTTCCCCCTAATAATTCTTTATGTCCGTGTGCAGAATGATTTTCATTATGTGCACCACGACGGAGGCGACAGATCACCTAACAAAAATTTATTCCGCACACAGACAGTGTGTGGCCGGGGTGAGGTCGAGAGGGTGGAGTGCAAAGTTCCCTGTAAGCTGAGCACTGGGACAGCGACCCAGGAGAAATGCAAAGGCCACCCAGCTGATTGGCAGAGCACCCGCAGCCGCTCACAGCTGGCAGCATGCGTTTCTATGGGTGGTGCACATCTGCACACGCTGTGGTGCACAGCACAAGATGTATTCCGCACATGGGTGGGAACATGTCGCGGGCACATTGGTGGGGTGAGGGCTCTAAATGGGGCCTCCAGGCGTGGGAGTGAGTTCTGGGCTGGGGCGGGTGGTTGGGGTGCAGGAGAGAGGAGGCCTCCAGCTGGGGGAGAGCGGTTTGGGGTGTGAGCAGGCTCCAGGCTGGGGCTGAGGGATTCAGAATACAGGAGGGGGCTGCAGGTTGAGGCATGGGTTGGTTGCGGGATGGGGTGAGGGCTCTGGGGTGGGCCCGGGGACGAGCCGTTTGGGATTCAAGAGGGGGCTCTAGATTCGGGGACGGGCTTTGGCCTGGGGGGGTTGAGTGCAGGGGGGGGGGGAGACAGGCCCTGCTCTGGGGGAGGGGGCTCCCTACTTATAGACTAATCGAGTTGCTCCTTCACCTTCTCTTAGCTTAAGCCGGCTTGCACAGATGCGGACACAGAACTCGGCAGCAGCCCTGTCCACTCCAGAAGTCCAACGACCCTTTTACGTGACTCAAGATCTCCCTGGCTATGCATCCCAGAACCACGGTAGGATTTTTGGCCAGTGTCATGCTGGGAGCTCGTGTTCAGCTAATGCCCCAAATCGTCCTCAGAGTCCCTGCTCCCAGGGTAGAGTCCCCGGCCTGGAAGAACGGCCGGCATCCTTTGTTCCTAGATGGCGACATTTAGTCGTAGCGACACACATATTGTTTGCACGCGCCCAGCGTACCAAGCGACCCAGCTCGCTCTGAATCCGTGCCCTGCCCTCTTCGTTATCTGGGTGGGATTATACGCAAGGCTGGAATATTGGTATGGAAGGCGCAGGGGGGGGGC